CTCCCGTGTCGCTTTTATATTCTTTTTGTCCATCTGCTAGCGGTTCTTTCAGAACAGTCACTATCCGTAGGAGTTGTCATGGGCGGAGCCCTTTCTCGAAAATTGTTCTGGACCGGGAGGGGATCGAACCATTCCTCTTCATGTCCGGACGCAACGTGTTACCACTACACCGTCGGTCCTTGTGTTCCATGTTCGACCTGGCATCACATCTACTGTGGCAAAAAAAATACACCTTTTCCTGTTCTTTTTTCTTTGTGGCGGTTTCTTGACTGGCTTTTCGCTGCTTTTTCGTGACAGAAGTTACTCCTGGCGTTACTGTCTAAAAATTTCAAAAAAATACTACAGATCTACAAAAACGCGGCGATATTTTCGGAAGCGACTACTTAGCTCTGAGAGAGCCGGAAAACAGACCTCTGGGTGTTGATTGACTAAAACAAAGAAAGTGGTTAGTTTATCAATCCGATCGAGCTGTTACAAAAACGGTGAAGTTTTTTCTTTGACTACACAGAATTTTTTCTTTCTATTTTTGGCTTCCAGGAAATGGTTTGATGTTACTGATGGCATATTTTTGAATTATGGCTGGGATACAAAGCAGCTGGCGAATAGTGCGACACGAGCGAAACTTCGGCACCGAAATGTTTTTGTGGGAGTTGACTGCTTCGGTCGTGGTTGTTTCGGTGATTTTTTCGTATATTAATATTCTGTGTTCTTAGGTTCCTTTCCTTATTTCCCACATAAATCGGTACTGGCCTTCCGAAGGATTCAAAGCGCGTCTAGCTTTTTCGGGAGGTAACTCTTAAGGAGAGATATCATCAGTAGCTTTGCCAGTGGGCTGTTGCTATTGTCAAATAGTTATCAGTTGGTTCAATTTCCAGTGCCTTTGCTTCTCACAGATTGGGAAAAAGTGGAATTTTCACTTATTTCCATTCAAATTACACTTTTCGGATGCGCAGTCATACGAATTATTTTTACCAAGTAATTTTTTAACATACAAAATTCTTGTCGTTA